AGATTCTGTGTGGTAGTGGCATCCATCACAAACCAATGTTTCTTCACCAACTGTCTCCTCGTCCGGTGAAATCAACGCCGCCTTCGTGCCTTGGCACGCCTTCCGCCTGTCTACCAGGAACAACGCGCCCCGTGCTTTGTCCCTTACCTGGCATATAACCAATAGAGCGATACTTAATATTGATGTGCAGATTAGTTCCAGCACTACTATTACATGAATCATGATATATGTATGCCGATAGCTATATCCTCCAAAGTCAGCTTTGCTTGACTTATATATAAGACTGGATATATGATTATGCATTGTTTGCTTCTTACAAAATACTATTGTAAATATAAAAGAGTAATTTGTCCAACGATTGCCCCATACATATTATATCTATATTAAATAAATAAAATAACTCATTACTATTATATATATTTTCAACGAATTTAATTCCTAAAATTGATATCTATATTTAAATTAAATTCCATCATTACATATTTATACTTAACAATTAACAATTAAATTACAATAATATTATATTATATAAATTCAGAAATCTCCGTCATTAAACATTAAATAATATCTATATCTCAAATCAATAAGATTTATATTTAAACACTTACAAATTCAATAATCTAATCATTACTACTTAAATTAATTAAATTAAATAATATGGATATGTATATTAAATTAAATCTCGAAAATATTCTATATTAAATTAAATCAATAGAACTGATCTATATTAAATTCAAATTCTATATTAAATGCTTATATTTATAGTAAAATTCAACAGATTTTATATAAATTATATTATATTTAAATTAAATTTCTCAATAACTATATATTAAATTAAATAAAGTTCAATCAATATTATATTTTCCAAAATTCTGTAATTAAATTATATTATATTATATAAATTAAATCTAATAATATTAATATTATATTATATCTAAATTCAATAATATTCTATATTATATTAAATTCAACTAATATTAAATGGAATTCAATAATTATGATTAGTATTAATTCAAAAACAAACTATATTAAATCATATCTCATGTACGATAGGACACAAAGCGGAAATGAACTTTTGTACATCTCATACTCCCAACCAACGGGCGACTATGATATCCAATGGTCGGGCCGATGCTACTGTGCTATATCCTACCGTCTTTGCGGGCATATACAATCCCCACCGGAATATTATGATCCCCTTCAAAAAACAAGAATCTGCAACACATCGGGAATATGAACTCCACCGAATATGAATATCCCAATCCCCAATCTTCAATATCCCGGGCCCCAAAGCGGTCCAGCTCTCTTAGGCTCTGAAAATCGGCCCACGTGGAGACTTCACTCCATTTCGCGTAACTCCGTTGAAACTATACTGTTTCGCCTGTACCGTTTCCGCCAGGTTTAATGTCGCTTACCGTTTTGAGTTCCTTGGAGACACCCTGATCTGGGCGTTCTAGAGGAGAGTTATCAGGCAAGAACCAAAGTGACGTGCGACGACCCGTGATCGCGGCCCTACGAGCGCATTGCACATTCCTCATCTGTATAAACCTCTACTCATATCACATCCAACTCTAATTATGCCCAGAATAAAAACTCTCAGATGCACTCTAACTTGTTATTCATAAAAAAAAAAAAAACTACAACCACTTCGGTGACAAGTTCTGTGAAAGGCTTGGTGTGCCTAAACTTCCTGGTTGGGTTAATCGATTTGCAAATGCAGGTGATGCCGTTTCAGAAATAATAGGAAACACAGCATTACGGGCCTTTCTTTTTTGAATATGGTGGAAAAGTTTAACATCTTTTATCCAAAAGCTTATTGATGGCCTTTCTAAATTCATGGCAGTTGACTCTTTTTTTGTTACTGCAGCCTAGCGGTGCATTTGAACTCTTGATGCCATTTTGAAGTGGGGTTCAACATAGAAATTGATGAGTAAATCTCTTGAATGAGATTATAGTATAGATAATCCTTTGTAGCTCGAATATCTTTGTACCGAATGGCTCGACTGTCCAAAACGACGTCGTTTTGGACAATTTTTTTTCCCCTCCTTATCTGAAATAGAGAGAGCAAAGAGAAGAGAGAAGAAGAGGAAGAGAGAGAGAGAGAGAAAAAAAAAGGGAGGAAAAGAGGGAATAGAGAGAGAGAGAGGGTCGATTGCCGCCTCCGCCTCCGCCCCTGCCTCCGATCGTCATAGCTTGGCCTCCGATCTCTGATCTCCGCCTCTGATTTGTGTATGAGAATGATGTGTTGTGTTGAAGTTTTTTTTTTTTAGATTTTTAGATTTTTTTTTTTGTTGATCTCTATGGTGGGTTTAGAAACTATACCATTGCAGGAGATGTGGTAGTTTTTAAATATACCATTTCAGCATTTCAGATGTGATGATGATGATGATGTGTTTGGTTGATGATGATGATTCTCTCTCTCTCTCTGCTGTGTTGATGAAGATGTGTTGGGTGGATTTGATTTTTGGTTGATGATGATGATTCTCTCTCTCTCTCTGCTACTCTCATCTTCTCTTCTTTCTTCTTCTTCTTCTTTTTTGATTTTTCTTCTTCTGCCAGTTATTAAAAAATAATTAAAAAAAAATCAAAACAATAAAATAACGTTGTTTTGAATTCGGGTCAATTTCGAGCTACGTAGCATAACCGTTATAGTATTTTATGTCGCTAGTTTTTGAATCGTATTGGTTCACGACATTTTGTTTTGTGCAATGCTTTTAATTAATAATAATAATAATAAATTGAAGTCAGTTGCCCCCACAGTGATGATATACACCTCTTCTTTGTTTCATCATATGTTGCTGACATTTTTTGATCAATCATACAGCACAAGTCAATGGAAAATTTAATCATGGTGTTGAGGTTTCAACAAGAGGAACAGATTATTTTACTGTACATTCAAGTTTTGAAATATGGTTTTGAACGTTTGGTTTTTGATTTTTGAATTTAAAACAAAATGCATGGTTTATTAATGTCATTTACGCTTATATTAATTTGGAATGAATTTTATGACATCATGTTACCATATTTTATTTTATTTTTAAATATTGTGTGATATGTGTTATTTTTTGACTAATTTAGTTTCAGTGTTATATATGGGATTTAATTAGAGTTTATTTAAAAGTTTGTGAACTTTAATTAAATTGTGGTGGTGCTACTACCAACGGATTTCTTTTAAAGTATTATATATGTAATATTGATTATGGTAGTAGTACTCTTGCAATATCAACCAATCTTTAACACCAGATAATTTTAAATATGATAATTTAACAGTGGTGTTCCATTTAATTGGAAATAAGTTTGAGGAATTTTTTGTATTGATTATTATTTTATTAATAATTAAGTTGAAAGTTTTTTTTTTAAAAATAACTTTGACATAAGTTGTCATTATTTATTAGGAAACTTGTGAAGTAGAGTTGTTTTATATGTTTTAGTGAATATTTTATTATGTCTGGGTTATATCGATATTTGTTGCAAAGAGCATTAACCATAAAAGAAAGAGTTAATATGTTCTCATGTGGGAGTTTATCTCTTGAATTTGAAGAGAAAATTTAATTTTCTTTTGTTACAAATATTTTTGAATAAATAATGTATGAATTTATAAAAAATGAGTTATTATTGTGACAGTGACACTTGTCTGGAAATGAATCATGTTGTTTGTGCTAATTTATGTATTATCAAAAATGTGGGGGAGAGAGATTAATGGGAAATTGTGATTATGATTGACTTGTTAATCTTGTCTATGTCTACATATGTTGTAGAGTTGACAATTGGGCAGCTGATACGTACTTCGTTGCAGCATGCTGGTTATTCTTGTAAAATAGAAAAGTAACTCTACAGTTCACAAAATGATGAATTATGAATTGAAATTTGTTCAAAACCTTCAGAAACAGAGAAAGACCTCCAATGTTAGAGCTTTGAAGGTCAAGACATGATTTTACATTCTTCACGGGATAAAAGGTTAATATGTATAAACCACACCTATGGCATTAGAAAGTTGAAAAACCTCCCTAACAATTACAGCTTGCCTTCATATGACGCAAACAATTATATCCATTGAAGTCTTTTATTTTTAGTTGATATGATATATGATTTATGAAACCATGCTAAGAACATCTCTGACTTAGAAGATATTTCCATTAAATGTATTTTTATGCTAAAAACTATGAACAAACCTCAAGGACACTTCTTCAATCCTCTCTTGTTTCAATTGAAACTAATCACGAGTAACTTTTCTTCTATTTTTCCTATTTTCTTTTTTTGTATGGTATTGTTAAGTTCTGAAGGTCTACTATTAGAGTAGTTAAAGTTTGCTTCAGTTGGATATAAACACATGACAATCTTAAGATCGTTTTTGTCACCATTTATACATTTGATAAAAATTAATATAATAATAGGTTATTTTCAAGAAGTCTAGGTTTAGGAAATCCAAGACTAAATGCCATGACAATGCATTTTGTGGCCAAACATAATCCTGAATTCATTACAAAAGCATGTTTCTGCAGGTAATATAAACTTGAAGAAGTCGAGTAGTTGCATAGACATGTACAGCGGTATATAAAAAGTAATGACTCGATTTATATGATTATGAGTAGAGAAGGTTAAAATACTAATGTTTGGTTGCTATTGTAGCTGGGGTTTATAATAGATGTGTAAAATACAGGTATTATGCATGAGCATTATAGCGCACAAAATTGTTCATAAGTGAACTTTTCATTTTGATTTTAAACCAGGCCAACTACGTACTCCTCGGTCATTGTTCAATACACCAACCAATAAGAGGAAAAAATCACCTCAACCATCAGTCAATTCCTCCACTGTTGAAAATGATTGTCCTTATCCGGTAAACTTTTGCACGCATAATCTCATATTACATTTTCGTAATATTCGTAATGGCTATTATTATGCATATGCTTCATATCACGTACTGCCAAACTTTTTCTGGAACTTAAGTTGTTCACATAACTATAAACTGTCATTTGTTGCACTTGTATTAGGCTAGAATGGCTAACGATAATGACGACTTTAAGATGTGGGGGTCTGAAAATGTGAAGATATTTTTAGAAATATTGGTGGATGAAATTAAGAAAGAGGGTCCTTGCATGTCAAAGAAAGATAGGAGTTTTTACCCAAAGCAATGGCAAACAATTGATGAGGAGATGACTAAAAAAGTTGGAAAAAAATTTGGGGTGAAAAAATTGAAGGGTAAGTTCGCGCTTTTGAAGGCGAACTACAAAGAGTTTGTTGCTCTAAAAAACCACATGGGTTTGGGTTGGGATCCAATAACTCAAACAGTGACAGCCCCAGATGATGTTTGGGAAAATTATGTTCAAGTAATTATTTTGGCGCATACATTTACCAGAACCATGTGTATAGACAAATCTTTTTTGAAATGATTAATTAATGTTTACAACTTGTAGGCACACCCAAATGCAAAACAATTCCAAACCAAAGGCCTTGAACATGATGAGCTCATGTTAGAAATATTTGCCAAGTCATTTGCCACTGGCGCTTTTGCCCGTTCTTCTCGTCATGGTGCACCCACATCTGATGACGAGTGAGAAATGGATGAACGCTTTCATGCATATACGTCGGGGAAAGGCGTAGTAGATGAATCTTGCACTTTCGGAAGTAAGCGTAAGTCTAGTGGCCTGGGTCAGTCCAGCAAGAACCCAAAAATGGATGAAGCACTGCAATCATAGCAACGTTCATGTGATGCACGTGAATGGTTTTACCTTCAAGCAGAGGCAAACGCTGGGGCAGCTGATACGTACTTCGTTGCAGCATGATGGTTATTCTTGTAAAATAGAAAAGTAACTCTACAGTTCACAAAATGATGAATTATGAATTGAAATTTGTTCAAAACCTTCAGAAACAGAGAAAGACCTCCAATGTTAGAGCTTTGAAGGTCAAGACATGATTTTACATTCTTCACGGGATAAAAGGTTAATATGTATAAACCACACCTATGGCATTAGAAAGTTGAAACACCTCCCTAACAATTACAGCTTGCCTTCATATGACGCAAACAATTATATCCATTGAAGTCTTTTATTTTTAGTTGATATGATATATGATTTATGAAACCATGCTAAGAACATCTCTGACTTAGAAGATATTTCCATTAAATGTATTTTTATGCTAAAAACTATGAACAAACCTCAAGGACACTTCTTCAATCCTCCCTTGTTTCAATTGAAACTAATCACGAGTAACTTTTCTTCTATTTTTCCTATTTTCTTTTTTTGTATGGTATTGTTAAGTTCTGAAGGTCTACTATTAGAGTAGTTAAAGTTTGCTTCAGTTGGATATAAACACATGACAATCTTAAGATCGTTTTTGTCACCATTTATACATTTGATAAAAATTAATATAATAATAGGTTATTTTCAAGAAGTCTAGGTTTAGGAAATCCAAGACTAAATGCCATGACAATGCATTTTGTGGCCAAACATAATCCTGAATTCATTACAAAAGCATGTTTCTGCAGGTAATATAAACTTGAAGAAGTCGAGTAGTTGCATAGACATGTACAGCGGTATATAAAAAGTAATGACTCGATTTATATGATTATGAGTAGAGAAGGTTAAAATACTAATGTTTGGTTGCTATTGTAGCTGGGGTTTATAATAGATGTGTAAAATACAGGTATTATGCATGAGCATTATAGCGCACAAAATTGTTCATAAGTGAACTTTTCATTTTGATTTTAAACCAGGCCAACTATGTACTCCTCGGTCATTGTTCAATACACCAACCAATAAGAGGAAAAGATCACCTCAACCATTAGTCAATTCCTCCACTGTTGAAAATGATTGTCCTTATCCGGTAAACTTTTGCACGCATAATCTCATATTACATTTTCGTAATATTCGTAATGGCTATTATTATGCATATGCTTAATTTCACTTACTGCCAAACACAATGCTATTTTTGAAACTTAATTTGTTGACATAACTATAAACGGCCATTTGTTGCACTTGTATTAGGCTAGAATGGCTAACGATAATGACGACTTTAAGATGTGGGGGTCCGAAAATGTGAAGATATTTTTAGAAATATTGGTGGATGAAATTAAGAAAGAGGGTCCTTGCATGTCAAAGAAAGATAGGAGTTTTTACCCAAAGTAATGGCAAACAATTGATGAGGAGATGACTAAAAAAGTTGGAAAAAAATTTGGGGTGAAAAAATTGAAGGGTAAGTTCGCGCTTTTGAAGGCGAACTACAAAGAGTTTGTTGCTCTAAAAAACCACATGGGTTTGGGTTGGGATCCAATAACTCAAACAGTGACAGCCCCAGATGATGTTTGGGAAAATTATGTTCAAGTAATTATTTTGGCGCATGCATTTACCAGAACCATGTGTATAGACAAATCTTTTTTGAAATGATTAATTAATGTTTACAACTTGTAGGCACACCCAAATGCAAAACAATTCCAAACCAAAGGCCTTGAACATGATGAGCTCATGTTAGAAATATTTGCCAAGTCATTTGCCACTGGCGCTTTTGCCCATTCTTCTCGTCATGGTGCACCCACATCTGATGACGAGTGAGAAATGGATGAACACTTTCATGCATATATGTCGGGGAAAGGCGTAGTAGATGAATCTTGCACTTTCGGAAGTAAGCGTAAGTCTAGTGGCCTGGGTCAGTCCAGCAAGAACCCAAAAATGGATGAAGCACTGCAATCATAGCAACGTTCATGTGATGCACGTGAATGGTTTTACCTTCAAGCAGAGGCAAACGCTGGGGCAGCTGATACGTACTTCGTTGCAGCATGTACGGGCATCCTAAAATCCATGGCCCGGATTCGAGCTTGTTTTTGAAGGCCATGAACATGTTCACATCACTAGAATGGCGAACCATGTTTATGACCATGGAACCGGAAATTAGGTACCTTTGGATCCTCAATTTGTGAGAAGCTTGGTCATCCCACTGTTCGGTTTGAGGTGAAGGAAATGAAGACGCTCGCAGAATTGTTTAGGTTTATTTATTTTTTTTTGGTATTTGTTAAACTTGAAGTTTTAAATTTTTCTTGTTTTAATTTTTTTGTTTTCCCTTTCAGTTTGGACTATGTTGGGTGTTGAGCTAACTTGATATATCATGCTGTCTATGTGGTTTCGCTTTAGACTTAGCACTATGTTGTCGTAATTTATTTTCGCCATGCTTTCTTTGTTGGAATGTCCTCATTAAATTTTTAGTGCTATACTCATATCATTACTGATAATACCTTGATTGTTTTACACTTTACGCTTTAGATGTTGTCGTCATGACCCAATGGAGGGCAATCGAACAATATGTACGATCCGTACAATGACAATGACGATGATGTGATGAACTTACACGCGGTTTGTCAACTAACATATGACATTCCTACGAGACAACTGCAACGTAATTGTCCATACACCGGTGACCAGTACATAAAATTCTTAATAAGTGGAAATCCTAAATGAATCCGTGAACAATTGCGAATGGAAGTCCCGACATATGTGGAATTGGTTAAACAGATTGTTTGTAGAAATGTTGTAGACTGGTCGAACATACGATTGTCACTGGAAGAGTCGTTGTCTTTGTTTTTATTTATTTGTGGTCAAAGTTCAGGCACAAGAAATACTGGAGATCAATTTCAGCACTCAAATGAGACAATTCATCGTCATTTCGTACTTATGATGCGGGCGTTGGGAAATCTTGCGCCATTTGTAATCCAACTACCAAACATGGCTATTACCCATCCTAAAATTTGGAATGACAGACGGTACTGGCCATGGTTTAAGGTAACATAAATGGCAGTTGATTTGCATTATTTTATATGGCTTAAAGATTAAATTGATAAATTAATTCAAAGTTATGTCATCTAGAACTGTGTAGGGGCCATAGATGGCACACATATTGTTGTTGTGGCACCTGAAGGTGACCAAATGCCATATCGAGGTAGAAAAGTGCATACAACTCAAAATGTCATGGCTGTATGTTCATTTGACATGAAGTTTACGTTTGTATACATTGGTTACGAAGGTAGTGCACATGATTCTAAATTTTTTCTAGAATCACTTACCACAAATTTCGCTGACTTTCCACACCCACCACCTAGTAAGTGTATTTGTTTTTAATTTTGTATTTTCCTTTTTTTCACACCCAAATATGCCATGACATGTTCTTATTGAAAGTGTTTTACTGTAGACAAGTATTATCTCGTTGACACCGGGTATACACACATGCCCGGGTACGTAGCCCCATATTGTGGCCAAAAATACCATTTGCAAGAGTTCAATAGGCGGCGTCATTATCATGGTCCAAAGGAGTTGTTCAACCATGGACATTCTTCTTTGAGGAATGTTATAGAAAGAACGTTTGGAGTGTTGAAGCAACGGTTTCCATTATTGAGACACATGCCACAGTATGATATGGTACGACAAGGGCTAATCGTTATGGCATGTTGTGTTCTCCATAATTGGATCCAGAAGGTGCAAGAGCATGATGAATTTTTCGATGCAGAAGAATCAAGTGACGAAGATGAAGACGAAGATGAATATGAAGGTGAAGGTGGAGGTGAAGGTGTAAGTGAAGTTCAGGGTGAAGTTGGAGTTCAAAATGTCCACGGAAATGAAGATGGAGTACCAGCTATACAACAACACGACCATGTGAACATGTCACGTGAACAATTACTGCATATGGGACAACGACGAGATGAGGTTATAGCATCTATGTGGGAAGCATACAACAATAGGCATATGATTACAAGTAGGTAGATTCTTTTTGGTAATTGAAAAAAATGGAGCACATAATCAAAGTAGGTTAATGTTTTAAACTTCACATTATAAAATGTTTTCTTGTATATATTTTAAAATGGGATTGCTAATTTCACGCCATATGCAGATGAAGGTGACACCAAATTGTTCATGTGGCGCTGGTCCAATGTTAGTGATTATGGCTTGCACCGAAGCGAACAATGGTCGTTATTTTTTTCGTTGTCCTAATTGGGATAATCATAGGGGCTCCTTCCTCTAGGTAGATGACTATGATGGTGGGATACAACATCTTACACCTACGCAAGTGCCTCGTACTGGCGGGAAGTGGTTGTTTTGGGTTTGTTGTGGATGCACCGCTTTTCTTTGTTTTAATATTATGATCCTTTTGTTGGTACTTTTGTTTGTCATTGTACTTACGTAGGATATTCCATATTGTGGTTGAAACAATGCTTGAACTTGTTGTTTTGTTATGGTAGCTCAATTATCGGTAGTAATTATGTTGTAGTATTTTGTTTTTTATTATTTTCAAACAGCTTGTGGTCGTTGTTTTATGTCAGAAGTGTTGATGTACAGTTATTTAAATTTGTTTCTTGCGCATGTATGGTTCATGTATCGGTACTATAGTTGCATGTTTTTTAATGTTCGTTTGGTCATGTATGGTTTTTTGGAACCATGGGGTACTTTTTTTTTTTTAAAACCATGGGCTAGTTTTTCTATTATACTTGTTGGAAAGGAATAGTCCTTCATCTTGCAAGCATGGTCCCTCGGTTGATTTGAAACATTCTCAGGCATGGGTAATTCGAACCATAGGTAATTCGAAACAATCGAACCATGGGTAATTCAAAACATCAAGCTCCCTCGGTTCTTTATCTTGCAGGCATGGTTTTTCTGTTATACTTGTTGGAAAGGAACAAGCTACATTCTCATTCGGTTGAGTTTCATCTTTCTTTGTGCTTCTGATTCCTGGTTGAGATCTTCTACAAGCTTTGATTTCACCATTTCTGTGTTGTCATTGGAAGTTGTCGTTTCAAGACTCTGAATGGGTGTTAGATCCAGGTCTCTTATCTATTGTATTAATGTTAAGCTCGCCTCATTTATTGTTTCATCTGCTACAGCTATCATCTGAGGTTCGTTAGTGCAACTTTTTTCGTCAGTAGTCTGTTCTTCAATGATTTCACTTTCAGTAGCTCTCTCAATTTCCCTAGGCACCTGTTTGACAGATATATGTTCAATAGAGTAAATAGAACCATAGAAATAAATAATAGGGAAAAAATTAGGTAGAAGTTCATGATGTACCTATTGACTTTTTAAATAAAAATTGCTCTTAGGTTTTGTTGATTTTTTTTGGGGCTCTACCTCTATATTTATCTTATGTTTTCCTACTTGAACATCTTGTCCACCAATTTGTTCTTAAATATGTAACTACTTCTTATCAATGCTCTTCTAGATAGCTTCTAAATATATAAGTTGGTGGACAAATATTGGTGGACAAATATTGTGCTGTTTTGCTTGATTCTCAAAAAAAAAAAAAAAAAAAAAAAAACCATGTTTACACACTATTTTTTTTTTCTAATTGGGGGTGTTTGTATTTTTTGTTTCTGAAAAAACCAACCAAACGGATTTTTGAGAATTTTTTTTTGAAAAGTGATCCTGGAAAAAGACAACCAAACACATTTCTGAGAATTTTTTTGGGAAAATCTATTTGGTTTGATTACTCCTAGAAATGTGTTTGTAGAGAATATTTTAGAAAATTGTTTCTGAAACACAAACCAAACAAGCCCTAAGTTTCCTTGGAATGATTAAAATGTGGGGGGTGCTTGGAGGATTTTACCAAAGTAACTGTCACGACCCAAACCCGTCCCTAAAAGTTTGGTCCATGACCGGCCTGTACATAGGCCTCAAAATAGAATTTGAGAATCATATTTAATCACATATGAGGCCTTAAGCGGAAGCAATATCAATAAAAGATAACATCCATTGAGCTTGTGCATACATGTTGGTTTAATTGAATTTAAGAATTTAAATACATTCCCATAGTTACATATACAATCACAAAATTATGCAGATCTCACATACACTTATATAAGACTCCAAAAATTGCATAACTCTCAATAATCAAAATTAAGGCCTCAATACGGAGGCGTACCCCAGGCGGCTTGGCAAATAGGTTGACCCCAATACAATTCTAGTGGCAATCCCCGATGGCTCACCTACATAAACATACATAAAAACAGAGTGAGCAAGGCTTAGTGAATAATAGTACGTGATAATCGAATAAATAACTTGAATCACAAGGTATATAAATGCAGAGAACTTATCGTTAATCTTATCTTGTGGTTGCTTTCAGAATGGGCATAGGCCCAGTTTTTAATCAGAACGGCTTTAGCCATTGAACAGAGTGGCGTTGAGCCCTTATCAGAATGGCATATAGCCCTTATCCTTTTACGTATGTATGAACTCAAGAGGTGGCTCGCCCGGATTCTAGAGATGACTCGCATGGCAACACTTAGTTCCGTGTAGTACTTTGTTTTATACTAACAGATCATACAGAATGGCCACAGGCCCAAATGTCACAAATTGGCCATAGGCCTCACAGATGTTACAGAACGGCAATCAGCCTCATAATTTTCACAGAACGGCCATAGGCCTCATAACTTTCACATCGGCTTTAAGCCTGGTTCACGTATGTATGGACTCAAGAGGTGGCTCGTACGGATTCTAGAGGTGACTCGCATTGCAGCACTTAGTTCTGTACAACACTTTGTTCCATACCAGGAAACAATTATATCATTAGGTCTTAATCATCCATATATTGTCATAACATAGCATAACTGGAACGGATGAACAGAAACAGAAACAGAAATAATCTCAGATTCTTAAGAATACCATTATGCAATAGTACACATAAGTTTCCCATGGTTTGGTTACAAATTGATACAGGTGTCTTGCGTGTAACAGAATAATAATAATAATAACCATTAACAAAGGGCACATATATCATTATGGTACGCTTAATAAGAACAGAACAATTCACATTCTAACGTGGGTCACATAGTGATGTTAAACATTTGCATTCATGTCATAGGTTCTTAACGACCTTGGGTCCATATGTAACACAATAGAATAATCTCAGATTCATACAGATACCTTGGCTCAAGGAAAAACATAAGTTTCATTTATTCGTTAAGAAACGACGTAGTCTGCTTACGAGTAACAAAATGTTAATATCAATTATTAATAGCACACCCAATGTACTACATAGTACTACTACTCACAGTGGTAGGTCTTTGATAGCGGTGGAACGATGTCCTCGTCTTGACCTACAAACACAATGCACATAGCAAATTATGAGGATAAAACCAATCTCTTTCTTATTCCTTAATCAATAGCCATGGTGGTTCTAAACTCATTAGTCCTCCATAGGTTATAATCCATGCCTCAAAAGATAGGAGGAATCGATAGGAAAATAGTTTAAGTGAAGAAATGGTAAAAAACTGGTAGACAGAAAGTGAGAAACTCTCACTAATTTGGGAATAACTATTTTTGTACTTAAAATTTGGGAGTGAGACCACTACCAATGGAAACTAGACTTCCAAGGCTCGATTTAGGATCAAGAATCACTCAAAACGGAGTCCGGATGCAAAAGATATGCTTGTTCAAAGTTATCCAATAAATGCTGAAACAAGGGTGGCCGCTCGTGCGCCCACCTTGGCCGCTCGTGCGGCCCAATTCCGCTCGAGTGGAAGAACCCGGCCGCTCGAGCGCCCAAAAGTAGAATGAAAACCCCTTTTTTCCCTTCATGTCCACTTGTGCAGTGCCCATGGCCGCTCGTGCGATCTGGGCAAAAACAAACAGTCCGAAAATGGTTTTTGCTCCAACACTTGATCTATCCATTTTTTTAGCTTGATTTCAAGTCTAATTACTCAAAAACATGTATAATTCCTTCCAAAACATAATCAACTAGTATCATCAAATAGAATCTTATCTTTTCTACACATACAACCTTCCATTACATATGCCCAAATCATGTAAATATAATCCTTCTATTCAACTCAATCCATTCCTTACATTTCAAATTTCCACATTAAACCTTGATTTCATGTAGTAGATGGATTCTCTACAAGGATAGTAGTTAGAGCCACATACCTTACCCTAAATCCTTGTTCTTCCCTTTAAGCTCTTCAACTTTCCCAAGCTTCTTGGTTGATCTCTTCCCTCTCTCTTCTATTTTCTTCAATAATCTTCAAATCCCTCATGGGTGTTGAGTTGCCTCTCATTCTCTCTCTCACGGCTCACTCTTTCTCTCCCTTAGATATTTTTTGACCCAAAGTGATGAGTTCAACAACTCATATATCTATGCATATATAATACACACATAAGTTCACCATAAAGGGGGAAACCAAATGTGCCCTTACGAATCGCATAAAATCAATTTTCAATTAAACTTCTTAGATTACTCTAAAAATTATGCTGATTATAAATATGTTCTCTGTTCTAGTTTCTGAAGCCTCTAAGGCCTTCAATTTGCGGTATAAAGTTAACCACCCAAACGTGCATTAACGAATCAGACAAATTAGATTTCCAAAAATTCCCGTTAACATATCCAAGTACTCAATTTTGATTTTTGAACCCATATAGGTCGGTAATTTCAATTTTAAATCCGTAACTCAACAGATAATGCTTCAATTCCAAAAGATATAATTAATTAAAACTCCTCATCCCATAGTTAAATACAGATGATTTCTTTTACGCATTTTGGGGTCATTACATTCTCCCCACCTTAAGAGTTTGGTCCTCCAAACTTGATTTACCTTAACACAAGTCAAGATTCATCCTGGATATACAACATTTCAATAATTTAGGCATTCACAATCCTATACAGTTAATTTCAATGGAGTTTGCTCCCAAAATCACAAGTAATTCATCGTTCTGACTAATTGGTAACCCAATTGATAATAATACCTAATAACATCAAAACATTGTCTCATTATTCACAATCC